ATGGCTGTCAATCTGGGCCATGACCACCTGTGATCTTGGCCATGGTCAACCCGGGCCATGACCACCTTTGGCTTGGCCATGGCCAGCCTAGGCCTGGCGATAGCCCAGAGACAAGATCCCATCAGCGCTCTGCATCGGTTCACGCTGCCAGCAGGGCAGCGTTTCTCTTCCCTGTTGTCTCAGCAAGGTCACTGGGTTCGGGCGGGCAACAAGTTCCTTCCAACGTGAGTCACAGCAAACATAAATGGAGAGCACGAGGTATGACAACTTGCCTGCATGGGCCAGTGGGCTCCAAGATCCCAATGGCACGGAAGAGCCATGGGCAGAGGGGGCTAGCAGCTGCCAGAGGCTTGGCTGGGCAATAAAGCCTTTTTTTTTTTTTTTGAGTTAAAGAAGCCCCCAAAATAGCACCTGAAACCAATAAACTTCCCTTTCAGGAACTTCTGTAATTTGAAACACACACAAGAACAAAAAAAAAAAATCCAGAATTTTTTTAAAGTTGTTTATCAAGTAGGACTTTGGGGTTTGTTTTTAAATACATTTCAGCTGGTGGGTGCCAGGGTGCGGCAGTGCTCAGTACAGCAGCACCCAGCCTCGGCTGCAGCTTCCCCAGGATTTCTCAATCTGCTTTTTCCCCCCAAATTTCTTTCTGCCTTTCAGCCTTTCCAGCTGACGCAGTCCCACCATCTTGCATCATGCAACACAAAACCCAGCCGCCCAGCTGATATTTTGGAAGAAAGCAGCTAAAAATATTCCCACCCTGTGCCCAGCATGGACCAGCATTTGAGCAAAAGACAAAAATCAAGCCCTGAGCCCACAAACCATGCTTAGCAGCTTGGTTTGTGCCTGCAGCATTGCCATGGATCTTCAAAATGGGAATTAAATGGGAAAAACCAGCATCAGCCCAGGCATGATCATCTCCTAAGTTGGATGCTTCTGCAGGTCCTGCCTTCCCCCTGCCACCCCGCAATGCTCTTCCTTTCTCCATGATGACCGTATCGATCCTGTTATTTATTAGGCTTTAAACCAATTTACTGGAGTCTTCCAAAAGAAGCACATGTGCCCCACTCCAAGCAGGGAAATCCAAACCATTTCCACAGGCCTCGGCTGGCCTCATCCCCATCCTACACTCATTCCTGCCACCACCTCTCCACTTAATTTACGGACCTCTTCCATCAACTCTTACCTGCTCCTCTTATGCGGAACACCATATTGGAGCTATCTCCCCAGAACACTGTTCCAAATCAAACTAAGAAAGTTAAATAACATAAAATAGTACAAAAATAATAAAGTAGGAAAAAAAGTAAAATAATGCACAAAATAATAAAAGAAACACCGATGCTGCCCCAAACTTTAGGGTTTGGAAGTGATTAAGGCAACATCTTATCAACCTGCTTCACTTAATAGCTGGATTTTAGTGTCTGAGGAACTTCAGAGCACCTCAGAGCAGAAGGAAATGCCAGGATTGCGCTCACATCCTGGATCTTGGTGAGAGCATGCAATAAACAGAGAAAACTGGTGATAAAGCAGCAAATACTCCCTCCCCAGCTCTTCTCCAGATGATCCCCAAGCCCTCACAGAAAACAGCACTCATGACAAATAGTTGAAAGTTTTTATTCATATAAAATTCATCTTAAGAACATAAAAGATTGCATCTTAAAAAAAAAAGATCTGCAATTATTTACAGCAGTATTGCACAAGTAAAGTGGCAATTACCCTGTCCAAAATTCATCAGTGCAAAACACAAGTAAGCCAGGGAAATTGCAGTAAAAATGCTACATATGCTGGGTCCTGTGAAACGAGTTAGTGATTCATCAGCACATCTGCGTGCGCTGGGGCTGTACCTGACGGTAAAGCTGGTCCTGGGAAAGTGGCTGAGATGGAGGAAAATGTGGCTTTAAAAGGTGGGGGTGGCAAAAATCACAGGGATGTAGAAGCCAAATTCCCACTGAATTTCACTAATGCTGAAATCTGTGATGTGCCTAAATCACTACTGAAAATGTGGGACTTAGGCACTTGGAGAAAAAATAACAATAACTCTCATTATCCAAACCACATTGGCTGCGCTGCCAGAAGACAGTGCTTTGGAAGGTGATCCATTGCTTATTGCAGGGGCAGGGGGCAGAAAAGGGGAAACAAAATCTTTACAGGAACTTAAATAAGCAGAAAATAAATATACAACATTTCTACAAGTTACAGCATTATGGAACAGTAGAGTGCATTAATTACGTAAGAAAACAAAAAGAATCTACAGTATTTACCAAGTTAACTCTAAAAAAGTTTAGAAAAAACAGTAATTTTTCCTTTTTTTTTTTTTTTACTTATTTATAAGCTGTACAAAACTTACATGAGAGAAAGGCAAAGAAATACATTGCACACAGATATTTGGCTCAGATGATGAAAATAATACGGTGCCCTACTCTAATAAATATTCAGGTATTTACAGTTACAGAAAAGAGGAGAAGCGGGAATGCATCATGTGAATAAATCATGCCTGGGAATAAATCTGGTTTCCCTGCAACCAAGGAAAACTCCTCATCACATCCTTTTGGCAGAACAGAGACCACAGGTTACACTTAAAATGACCCAGAGCAGTCAGCCAACGTGGCTACGACGAGCATAATCTCCATTTAAAAACATGTCTTCTGTTTAGAGACTTTTGGGGGTTTTTTCCCTAAACCTCGCAACTCTAGGGGGTGAAACCTTTTCTTTGGGGGCTAGTTTTCCTATGCCCACCTTTGGCCGGGAACACCTGTGGAGAAGTCCCAGGAAGATGGTACCAATACCTTGATTTTTTTTTCTTTTTTCTTTTTTTTTTTGCCTTAAAATGAACACAATTTTTGTCTCCATGGTTGACTGGGGCAGCCTGGTAGGGAGGATGGGGTAAAGTGCTCAGCGTTTCTTTGGTGTACTCCAAGGGACACATTCTGGGTGGCATGGTGCCGGGATGCTGTAAGGCTGCAAGACCCGAAAACACCGTTTCACCCACCGACGACAGATGAAACTCAACCGGGAAAAAAAAGCTCATTTGGTTTCCCCCTCTGCTGCCAAATTTTATATAATTTTTTTTTTTCCTTTTATCAATTCCATGTAGGTTTCTATGGGAAACCTGCAGCAGCAGCCTCCCTGCTGGAGTTTTCTCTACAAACCCTATAGAAAAGAAGCGATGGCTGGAGCATGGCTGGGGCTGCAGCCAATGAGCTCAGAGCAGGAACCTGTGCTGGCCAAGCTCACTAGATAAATTAACCGCTTGCTCTGCACCAGTGCAAAGATTCCCCGCCACAGCCTCTACAAAATACCCTTTCCTAAACATCTCCTAATCCTGCAGCTGAGGCCAACTCCTGCAACCAATGCTCATCTTGCAGGTCCAAACCAACCAAAACAGTTAAAAAATTAAAAACTGCTCCGTAATCCTCCAGAGGAGTGCAATTGGAGGCACGCAGCCCCGCACCAACACCAGGCACAGGCAGCCAGTGCACAGAGGTCAGATTGTACAGTTTGTCCATCATTTAAAACACTTAGTAATCAGACATGGCACTCAGATCAGCTCCTCCCTGCACACGTGTTGCAGGAAAAACTGCTATGGTGGGGTTGGGTATTTCTGTTTGTTTTCTTCCCATGGTGCCGGTGAAACCAGAACTAAAATCGCAGTGTTCAGAAGTGGGTTTGAGGACCACCCGCACCTGCCAGAGGAAAGAGGCCGCTCCGGAGGCAGAGAGGGGTACACTTGTGCATAGATGGGGGAGGTGACCAGAGCAGCCATCCCCCTGCAAAAGCATCCGTCCTGCAGCAGCCACCCGCCTGTGAGATGAATCAGAGACCATGCTGAGCCCAAAGCAACAGACCTGCTTCTTCTGACGAGCCCGCGGGGTTCCTCCAGCTGCGGGGTCTCCAGGTGGAAGAGGAGGTGCCCTGGGACGGCATCGAGCACCCAGGCCCAGCTCTCGCCATGGGAAGTTTGGGAAGAGCTGTGGAAGGATGTGGGAAGCAGACCCCATGTGGTGTACCAGGGTGGGTCCATACCCACTCAGCAACCTTCGGTGCCTCTTCCAGCTGCATGCCAGTATCCAAGGGCTTCACGCTGGCGGTCCCGTCCTGCTTATGCCTCTGCTCCAAGCTGTCCTGTCCGAGCACAAAGGATCCCAGGAAAAAAAATTAAAAAAATAAAAAAACCCCAGCGCCTTAAAAACCTTCCTGGGTTCAACAGCAAGGTACAAGCCACGAATTAACACAGTTCCTGAAGTTACACAGCAGGAGCTGCCGTCTCTGGGTGCAAAGCTGCGGTGTGCTGGGAACTGTTTTTACCTGCCTCCAAGAACGTTTTATTGCTGAATTACTCAGTCCCCAATATTATATATTATATTATACAATACGTAAGTGTTTTCACACATTTTATAGAAAGACTTTCTAAAAAAAAAAAAAGGCAACCTGGTGGATTGGGTTTTTTTTGGTTGGTTGGTTGTGATATTTTGGACCCTGGGAGTCTGACAGCTAAGTTTGAAATTCAGAGTGTAAAATAAAACATATATATAAAAGAAATC